TGTCTTAATCTTGCTTGATTTTGTTCATTCTTGTTTTATACGTATTATCAAATTACTGTAATTCTTAATTGATTTACTTGATTAAGCATTGTAATGTTAAAAGTTATGTGCATTTCAACATGTTTTACTAGTGTGTTCACCTCAACTTGACATTGAACTCTATGGCAAAGAAACATACTTCCTGTTGATGTATGCCATTTGTAATTGATGATTACATTATTGGTCAGTTAGGGGATTAGGATTAGGAAAGTTTATCTTTTGGATTACTGACTATGCCTTAAATAAGCCCCTTTTTAACACCTTGTGTTAAACTGGACCCAAGCAAGTGTCAGTATACTATGCTTATTGCTGTTTCTGTAACTTTGTCCTTGTAGTCTATGTAGTACTGTTCCAGTAATAAAGATATCCTGCTGCGAGTATCTCAAATGGTTAATTTGTATCCAGTTGCTTATGACTTCATGGTTGTGATATACGATCTCACAAATCAGTGCTGACTACAACAATCCCCCACAGTACTCGACTATGTACACTGCCGTGTTTATTACAATCTGTTTGTCTGCATTATTGTGCCTTACTGGTGCACTTTGCATGGTCACCTCACACTGTATTAGCATTCAGTTTTTTCCCTTTACCTTATTAAAATGTATTATTGTTTGGACAGACTGTTGTCATTGATCGATCTTTAGTAATTCTTCAATTTTTCAGATTTCAGGATGGGGAGGTGAGCATCATAGATTTCACAGACTGGTAAAGCTAACATTCAGCAACTTGCAGAGCATTGGCAGCAACTGGAAAGGTCACACAAAGTGTGGCGAGATGAAAAGAATGCCTTAAATGAGGAACTTGCCAATGAAACAACTTAATGCTTGTCAGATATTGAATTAGGGCATCCTAAAAAAGAGTGAAGAAGACACTGGTCGTAAATCTACGCCATCAGCAGGGACGGGAAATAGTGATGTACCATGGATAGAGTTAATGAACCGGGTGTTGGACACTATTGGTAAACCCAAGATTGAGTCTACATGGTATCGGAAGCTGAAGCTTTTCTCAGGAACTGACCCGGCACCCCCTGAGGAAGAATATGAAGCCTGGTCTGGACAAGCCAGACAAATGGTAGAAGATTAGCTATCTTCTGAAAAAGAGAAAATGAAACGAATCTCTGAAAGCTTGAAGGGGCCAGCACTTGGTGCTATCATAGCATTTAAGAAATCCAAGTCAGATGCCACTGCCCTTGACTATCTATGCGCATTGGAGAAGGCATTTGGACTGACTGGGGACAGAGAGGATGCATATCAAGCATTTCTTGTTACATATCAGCGACCAAATTAGACACCAACAACCTACCTTCATCATTTATGGAAATTACTCAATAGGGCAGTGTTGAAGAAAGCGATATCAGCAGAAGATATTAATCGAGGGGGTCTTGTATAACGATTCTCTTATGGTGAGGCTGAAGTACAACCCTAAATATAACTTACACTCTTCCCCTGACCATGTCACATTAATGTATTTGTTTAGGGAAGAAGAGGCCGAACAGTTAAAGAGGGAAACTCAGAAACTAGTGCAGTTAAGTCATCAAACAGGAATATCTCCCATTCTTTGAGTGCCAGTTTCATGGCAAACTTTGTTAGACAGAATTAATATTTTCTGGAGCAGAAGTTCAGTGATCAGAGAGAATATATATCAGCTAGTCAAGCCACAGTTCCTGCGTTAGACCAAATATCAAGTAAAGAACCCTTCCAAGAGACTAAAAAGTGGAAACCAAAGATTACTCCAGGCTCCTCTTATGCAACTACCACTGTTATCCATGAACAACCAGCTATTCCTTCAGACGTACTTGAAGGTTTAATCGGGGATATGGTAATAATTGACACTTTTCTTGAAGGCGTCCCTTGCAAAGCACTTTTGGACAGTGGCTCCCAAGTTACGATGTTGTCCAATAGGTTTTACAAAGAGCACCTACATGTAGCTCATTGTGAGCTTCAGCCATTGAACATCCTGGTGGTTTTAGGTTCAGCTGATCAGTTGGTTCCATATTATGGCAGTGTGCTTTCCAGAGGGAGTTACCGGAACTACAAAGACTTTCACGGCCTCAGCTTTGATCTGCCCTCATTCAACTCAAATAGAGATAACTCCAGTTATATTTAGGACAAATGCTAACCTTTTCAAGAACATGGCCCAGTACTGCAGACATATGTTCGGAAGGAATTATTTGAGGGTGTAATGTAAGCAATGTATGTGCCAATGCCTACAAAAAAGCAGAGGTGTTGGAGAAGTGCATGCCTGATGGTAAGATTGGGGCTGTTCGTTTGGCGGGAAGGAGTGGTTGTACAATTCAAAGTGGTGTAACTGGACTGGTGAGTGGGCTGGTGCGTAGCAGATTAGGTCTACCTACCAGCTTTGGTGGAGGTTCTATGTAACTCCAATTTGCCTAATGGCTTGATCATAAAGAACAGCGTTCTTACATTCCTGCCTGGGTGATATCAGAGAATTAACATCATGGTTCATAATGATACTAACCATAGTATTTCGCTTCCACCACACTCCATAATTGCAAACTTATACCTACCTGATTGGGTGAAGACTTTATCACCTGATGACTTGCGTGCTAGCTTCAGCACCTCCACAACCAATGGAGATGCAATCTGATGCAGAAGTTAATGTAGACTTTGGAGATTCACCTCTCACCCCTGATGACAGGTCCCGTATCCTAAAGAAGCTTAACCAACAGGCCAATGTTTTCTTGAAGCATGATTGGGATATTGGACGTACTTCGGCAGTAGAGCACCAAGTACCTTTGAATGACACGACATCCTTTATTAGGGAACGTTCTAGGAGGTTAGTCCCAGCCGACTTTATGGACACTAAGCGCCATTTACAAGGACTTCTTGATGCTAGGATAATCAAAGATTCTAAAAGCCCATATGCTTCTCCTATTGTAGTAGTACGCAAGAAGTCTGGTCAGGTGAGACTATCAATTATTGCACTCTGAATCGACGTACCATACCAAGTGTGAAAAAGCATACCCTGTGCACAAGTTCCTGGCACTAAAATTGTGTATCACAAATAAATTTAGGGATTATTTGTATGGTACTAAGTTCAAGGTACTCACAGACAATAATCCAGTAACCTATATTTTGACCACTGCCAAACTTGATGCTACTGGGCATCGCTGGCTGTCTGCGTTAGCTGCATACGACTTTACCCTGCAGTACAGAAGAGACCCCATAAATATCGATGCTGTCAAGACGTCCTGGAGGTCCCCCCACTGATGACCCACACTTCCTTACCACTGAGCAGAAAATCCAACGTCTGAAGTCACGGCTCCAATGGTAGGGAGAAGAGACTGAAGAAGTTCTACCTGGTGCAGTGATTGGTGCGATTGCTATGATTCGTGGCGTACAATGGAGTAATCATTCTGTGGATGCCCAGCCTTAAAATGTATTGTGTAACACAACATCTGCCTACAAAGATCTGCTCAACAACTCAAATGCTACACCGGCATTAATTGAAACAATATCTCTGTCCCCAGACTCAATCCCATCCCATCACAGTACTGTTTGCCTAGATGGCTTGTTTGTTGAAATTAGCATGTTCACTTGAACTGGGAAGATATCCAGTTATCATCTCAAGCATCAAATGTATGATTAACTACTGGCTGAAAATAAAACATACAGATGAAAACACTCTGATCTCTGAGCACCATAAACTTGGCACAAATTTGGAGAAAGAAAACATCAGTAATTATACCAGAGGCATAAAAAATTACTGAACCTTACAGAAATTAGCGATGTTTGCGAACAAAATCTGTAATAATATTATCCCATCAGCTACAAAAAAACTACAAAATATGTTTGAAAAACATTGCACAGAAACAATGCATAATGACAATAAAGGCACTAATCACAAAAATAAACTTCGTACAGCTGAAAACGGATTTTACACTTAAAAAATATCTTGAAATTATTAAAACCCCATCCACAGATCATCTATGACTAAACTGAGGATAAGTGCCCACATGGTAATAATACATGGTAGGTTCATATATCCACAGGTCATTTATACAGGATACCCTCACATAAACATCAAATCACATTGAATACATATGTTGGAGCAAGGGTAACACTACCGAGTATAGTATTTGCAACAAACACTTTGATTAATCTACTGTAGAAGGTATCAAAATTATCTGTCTCTAATTTTCAAAAACTGTTGCCCATATATGCTCCACAAACATAATTTGTCAACACAAAATCTTAATGCACTACTACCACAACTGAAATACAAGAATGTGTACTCAAGCAAGCTTGTGTATGAAAACGTGATTTTAAACATGATAAAGTAAATTCATTGAAGTTAGTGTCATACTGGCCTGTAAAAGAATCAAGAGTGACATGTCTCTAATGAAATGAAAAGATCGCTTAGGTAATAAATAATTAAAATATTTAAAAGGATTTCAATGCATAGTTGTACATACATTCTATAGCTTCCATGTCAAAGTAAATAGAGTCAGGTAACAGTGACGTTAGTAGTTAGATCATGCCATGAGATGGGGACATTTTACTTCACCTGCTAACAGTCTGAGCATGTATGGTTTCAGGGACGACTGTGTAAATGAACATTGAGTAGATCAAGGCCATTGCTTTCACAAAAACAGGTTCCAAATGAGTAAATCTAATCGTAACAGTTGGTAAAATTGAGCTAGATCTTTCTCCAAGGAACACATCGGCAAAGGTTGGATCTCTTTCGAAACAGGATTGTACCAATACTCATTATGCTCATTTTAAGTTCTAGAGGGCAATAGCAATTCAGATATATTTATTTCTGTTGTTGGTGGAAATATAGCACCAAATGGAATGAACAAATTTTTCAATTCATTTCCAATGTTAGACATAATATGCTAGTATGCTAACATTTTACTATTTATTGGTTTTATTGGACTGACAGAAGCGAAAAGTCATTTTCTATTTTCATTATTTTAGGCATTTGCTAATATGGTGGCTCTTTACTACTTAAAGTAGGATTATTGTGAATATTAATAACAGACTGATTACCATTTACAATAAATAAAATCGGAGCTATATTGGAATACAGAATGTTTTTTTCTGACATAAATTCAAATTCTAATTTCACAAACTTGCTACGTAACCCCTTCTTGGCAAACACATTCATAAAGTTCATGCCATATGTTTCTATTACTCTGAAATACACCCGACTGTGATAATGTGTACAGTAGTCTTCTAACAGTGTCTCTAACAAAATATGGTCCAAGCATTAGATTGCAAAAATTCAGTACCAACTTGTGCCAACTCAAGTCACTTTGATGGCTTTTGTGCCTGGAAATTAAGTTGAAAGAAAGAGTATGAAGCCATTAAAGTGAACAGCAATTGTAAAATTAATTGATAATGAATTAAACTGCTACATGTATGGGCATAGTTATCACAAAAATCAATGTGATTTATTGCAAAACTCTTGAGCAAAGGTGACGCAACAACAAAACAATTCACAACACATTTCTTCAATACTTTGTACAATGTAAATCCTACTTTACAATTTGCTATATTAAACTTATAAAAGATGTAATCTTTTGAGTTACAATCTTATTTATGGCATGCAACTACAATAAAATATAATGAGTGATGTTCCATACCTCCAAGAATACTTATCCATTTTGTATTGCAACACCATTCCATTTCCCCAATCTGTAAGGTATGCTGTGTATGCTTTGAAGAATGTGAAATAAGAAGCAGCAACTTGACATAGTAGTTTACTTGAAAGGCTCCAAATGTTGAGGTCAGAAGAATGTGGTCTGGGGAAGATCAAATATCACAGAGAAAATAAGCCATTGTCAATTTCTCTACTAATTTTGAAAATTTCTTTATTCTGCCCTTGCTAAATGACACATCCTTAAGTGTGGTTGTCCTATAAGAACATTGCAGTAGCCAAGTCAAATAATGCACAGCAATACAAAAATTAATGACATCTTCAAACAATGAACAAATCTGATAGAGGTTCACCCGAGGTATCTACAAAGCAAACTGGTTGGTAGTTTTCAAGAAGAAGTCAACAATGCAATTGAAAGATGAGCTATGACTGACAGGCAAAAGATAATCACATATATGAACAGCTCATCCCTGCTTCATCCAATACACTGTTAGTCAAGTTCAGATCTCAATAACAACTTTATTTAAAGACGGCTAAAAATAAGCCATACAGATGAATGAAGGATACTTACAAACATGATTATCATCAGTTGTGAATAAAAGACGGCTAAAAATTAGCCATACAGATGAATGAAGGATACTTACAAACATATACATCACCAGTTGTGAATAAAAGACGGCTAAAAATTAGCCATACAGATGAATGAAGGATACTTACAAACATATACATCACCAGTTGTGAATAAAAGACGGCTAAAAATTAGCCATACAGATGAATGAAGAATACTTACAAACATGTACATCACCAGTTGAGAATAAAAGTGCATACATTGTATGATTATAACGCTGATACATTTGACTGTTTTAGATTATATGTACAATTAACTTTGCCATGTAAAGATAAATTATGGGGGGGGGGGGGGTGAATTAATTGAATAAATATAGAATTTATGTTACAGAAGTTGATTTGTTGTTGATTTAAATATTTTGCAGTGAATAAGTGTGCCTAATGGATGTGTATTGATTAATAGAATTAATGTAGTTTTTTTGTATTTAATTGTTATTTACATAATAAGGCATGACAGATGTAAACAAAGTACAAGTCAGATCAACGGAATACAAATAGTAGTTTGCAGTGCCAGAAGACCCAACTACATGTAAATAAAAACTACAAAAAATAATTGTGAGTGGTCTGACTAAATATAAAGACTGCTTTTCACTTTCAGATAGAAGGAACTAACTAACTTCAAATATATCCAATGTACTTTCTAATTTAGTTATCATGGTAGGTACAAAAAAAAAATGTACCTTTTATCACCAGTATACATGTACCTCTTCAGTAAATAGTCTAACACAAGTTGATTACATTGATCCATTTCAATTCCATTTGTACCAATGTCTTCTCTTGGTAATATCAACACTGTCACCATAACCTCCTAACAACACAACAAAACAAACATGTCATTTTATTTAAAAAATTATGAAAAAATATGAAAAAAAGGAAGACTTCATTGTAAAGGTGGCCTTTTTTCAGCAACAAATCATTAGCATTGTAGAATGAAATGTCATTAACTACATGCCATCAAGGTTACTAAACAGCACAGATTAAACAATAACATATCATATGCTATAGAAAATAGAGAATAGAAAGAGCTTGTTCAACTTACCAAGTATTTGGAATTAGTGACCAGTTTATCCAGCTTAGAAATTACACTAGAGTAAAAATAAACAAGCAAATTCTTTTATGTACATGTACTTGCAGCCAAGTGTAATGCATAATTGAATAACAGAGGGACTGTGATTGCATGTAAAAACAATTAAGTGCAGTTTATGTCAGACATATGTCAAAACATATACCGGGATTGATACATTTTGGTAACATATATTCTTTAACAAATTGAGAAATTACAAAAAATGTTAAATCAGGTCTATGCTATGTAATTCTGCTTTTTATACCACAAGCATCATAAAAAAAAAACACTATGAGATAAAATAACAATACACTGAACATATTCCTGGTACATCTTAAAAATAATATACTTAATTTCTATACTGGTACATTTTTTACATGTACATACATAATGAGACTAACCTTTGTGTTTGTTCAAGATGTATTGTACTAAGATATCTGGATAGCAGTATTGCTTCAGTTTTGACCATTACATCTTCACTTGTCTCGTAAGAAACTAAAAAGGGTTTTGTGAAATAAATGCATATTTAATTTTCATAGAAGTACATTATAGAAACTATAATATCTATATACCAAACTAATAAAGTTTTGATCTAATGAAGCAAATACTGTTCATGTAATGTATTCATCTCTTCAGAAATACCT